TATTTGGGCTTTCAGACGTCCAAGAGCAGCCGCAAGAAACTGAGGAGTTGAAGAAAGGAAAAAATCATTCTTTACTGATTGAGACGATCGTGATTGGGATATCATAACGCGTATTACGCTGCCCACAGGCCCTATGCTGCTTCCGGTGTGTTTGCCCACTTGCAGGGCCAATCCGATTGCCAATGAGCTTTCCACGTAGCCCTTACTTCCTGTGTATTTGTCCGAAGGGCCCTGGCGTTACTGGGGCCCTTCCTGCTACTAGGTGTTTTGAACATTAGGTGTTATGATACCTTAGTGGTTACGACATCAGATATTGCGAGAATCCCCCTTCTTATTGAAGGGAAGGGCCCTACGCTCTGTCGAGGGCCTATCTGATAACCAGCTCGGGCACATTCGATCGCTCAGGGGCCCTCCATATTGCGTCTTGCGTACTTCCTATTTGAATGGAAGCCCCCCCCCCCTCTGTTCGCTTCCTCAGCCTCACTGAATTGTTCGGGGGGGGGGGGCGCATACTGGGTCTTGGTGTTTGAATTTGGACCCTGCGCTCCTACCGGGGTCACCTGATAACCAGCTCAGGTACACTCCATATTTCGGGGGCCCTCCACACTGGATTTGGTTACTTCTCATTCGAATGGAGGGCTTTACACTGTTGTCAGGGCCTCTCTGATAAGATGCTCGGATCCATTTGATCACTAGGAGCCCTCTACATCTGGTTTTGGGTACTTCCTATTTGAATGGAGGTCGTTCCGCTCTTTTGGGGCCTAATCTGTTAACCTGTTGGCGCACTCGATCATTCGAGGGCCTCTACATCGTGTGGTGGGTATTTCATATTTGAATGGAAGGCCCTACGCTCCCTCCGCTCGGGCACACTCGATCGTTCGGGGCCCTCCATGTGTTTTGGGCACTTCTGTTTAAATAAATGCCCCTATGTTCTTGCAAGGTCCTCATCTGAGGACGGGGAACGCACGGGACCATGCCTCCTTGTGCCCCGAGCGGGGCCATAGGCTCTGAAGGGGCCGGTAACCGACCAAATAGACCCAGTTTTCCAACACAAAACGGAACAAAATTGGACTTGTTTGGGCTACAGATGACTAAGAACACTTGCGAGCGAAAATGATGAGCCTATGAGCAGACAAAGCTAATTCTCCGCTGATTGAGAAGATATTGATTTAGGTAGATTTTGGGGCTGGTTACGCTATCTAGAGCCTTACGCTGCTGCTCGGGGCCTGCATATTAAATTGCCGGGTCAAGCGCATCGCTCAGAAATCTTCCACGTTGGCCTTAACATCTTCAAATTTTCTCGTAAGGCCCTACGCTGCTGTTGGAGCGCTATTTGATTACATGCCTGGACACTCTTGGTCGATCAGGTTTTCCTCCACCGATTCTTTCCATTCGCCTGAAACGCTTAACGCGCTTTTTCCGAGGCCCATATGCCAGGGTACAGTCAGTTGCTCATGGGCCCTTCACATTCATATCGAATTCCTTTGACTTGCTCGGTGGGCCTTGTGCTGTTGCTGGACTCATATAGGTAAGGTACCGAGCCACGTGATGCTCAGGAGAACTCTTCTTTGAACTAGTCCTCTTTCCCTTTGGTCTCATTCGCGGAGGACCCTTCACTCCTATCAGGGTCGTTGCTTTTAACCTGCCCGGCATTCTTGATCGTACGGGGGCATTAATCCATTGCATTGGTATTCCGTAACTTTTGTTTAATCAAAGGGGCCTGTGCTCTGGCCGGGGTCCTACATATCAGTCTGCCGGGGCATTACTGATCGTTCAGGGGCTCGCCATGTTGGTCATGTCGGTCTCTGACGGGCTCGAGGCCTCTTGTTGACACAGAACAGCCTGTTGGGCACTGGGCCCCCGACTGACACAGAAGCCCCGCATTGTTGCAGAGGCTCCGACCAATGCAAATCGCGGGCCCAGCCTTGCCCGTGCTTGGGAAATGGGTCCAAGAGATCAGACTGACACGGAGCCGACTGATCGTTGTAGGTGATCTCTGGCTAAAATAAAATGCCTGTGTCAGGGGTCCCAAATCGATACAACAGACCCTCTAACTGACATTTGTGATCGCAGTCCTGAGGGCGGGGTTACTAAATGTGACCCCAGGGGTCCCTGGTCTTTGGTCCTGATGGGCCCTTCGTCCACCCTTTGGACCTCCTCAAACAAAGCCTATGACCGACTCGGGGTCACTAGCTGACTCATGACCCCCTGTTAGGCACTGCGGACTCCTGACGGACGCAGGGGCCCAAATCATTGTAGGAACCCAGAACAATGTGAGTCGTGGCCCCCAGCTTTGCTCCTGGCTGGGAAAAAGGTCCCAGGGTTCAGACTGACAAGGATCCAACTGTTGGGTGCTCCTGGTCTCTGGTCGACCGAGACACCCGCATTGTCTCAGAGCGTCCCTAAACGCTTCAAGAGGACCTCTCACTGATATTTTAGGCCACGACCCTATGGGCAGGGATTTTTATGCGAACTAACGCCAGTTCTTCAGGTTCCTATACCGCGCGAGCTCCTCTTCGGGCCTTATCGAACACTGCCTTTGGTCAGCTCAGGCTCGTTGTGAACGCAAGAACGTCTGTTAGGCACTGCGGGACCCGACAGGTGCAATGGCCTCGAGCAGTATAAATTGCTGTCCCCGGCTTCGTAGCTGATTGGGAAGTGGACCGTTAGACCCATATCGACACGGAGCTGACTGTGCGGTGCTGGCGGTGCCCGACTGACATATAGGCCCATGTTAGCTCGGGGTGGCGGCTCCCGATCGGTGCAAAGGGCCTTTTGACTGTCATTTGAGGGTCCGTCCCTGCAGCTGGAGACCCTGAACAAGACCCGACTAGCATTTCGTACCCTTAAGCCCTTCAATGGGGGCCTTAATCGTGGGTTCCGGGGCCCTCCAGGCTTTTCGGACCTCCTCGAACATACCTCTGGTCAACGCGAACTCTTGCCAACACAGGGACCCCTATTAGGCACTGCAGAGCCCCTGACAGGCGCTGGGGCTCGAACAATGTAAATCGCTGGCTCCCGCTTTGTCCCTGCTGGAGGAATGAATCTTCAGGCCCATGCCGGCACGAAGTCGGTTATGAATAATAGGTAGTGTCTGCCGACATATAGGCCCTAATCAACTCAGCGGCCATTGATCAGCGCGCAGGCCCTCCGGATGGCACCGAAGTGCCCGGCCCCTGGATGAGTGACCTCTGGTCGGCGCTTCTACGTGGTATATATGTGTCCATTTACTAAGCAGTCCCTGTGTGTAGTTTTGTTATGCAGTCTGCGTGTTGCATTTACCAGGCAGTCTGTCTTTGGTTGTGGATTAGAAGGCGGCCTCATGTCTATTTTTTACGAGGCAATTATGTTGGTGATTGGTGGTCTCTATGCGTTGATTTTACGATTCCATTTAGTTTAGGTGCGCACTTGGTGGAATGGTCGGTGTTGTCTGTGCCTATATGGAATATAGCTGAGCCGTAAACGTCGCTGCTGAAAGGAGTTCTTACAGCAGGTGCCCATAAAAATGGGTCTGTTTTAGTATAAAAAGTATTGCAGGTCAATCTAGCGCCAGTCCGGATAGATCCCTCAGAGATGGTCAGTCGGTGTCACGTGGATCGCATGTTTCTGTGTAGATCAATATGTTGTATGCTAGCTCGCGGACCTCGTGGCGCATACACTTATGCATCCAAGGACATATTCAAGGTACTAGAGTAGTTAAAATCGGCAACGGCATTGGTCTACCTATGTTACAATTTTGTTGGGGGATTCAGTCCGTCTCCAAGTCCCTGTAAGTGGTGAACATTCTTCTACCCGTTCCGATCATGCGTTTTGAATTTCTTATCTCTAGTCGTTCTGAGCTGCTTCATCACTGTCTGCACTATTACCTCTTTCGCTTGTATTAATTTGCGGCGGACCATTGGCCTTTTTGCGCGTGACCATTGCTTTTAATTGACCTTGCGTCGGTTTTACTCCATTGCTATGAATGTGTAAGTTCTGCTGTTCTGGCGTCTCGCTTCCGGCTCACTGATACACTCAGTACGTCCAAAGTCATTTCTATATTTGACACGCGTCACAGGCACTCCACACAGTCCGTCCCGCCGGAGCATCCGTCCTCGCGCCGGCGGCTCTCCGAGTCTTCTTTGTTACTCCCCCTCTCCTGGCCCCAGCGGTCGCCTCCCTCGCACGGGCGCCGCAGGGGGGAACGCGAGCGCCTCGAAGCGGCGTTCTCCAAACTAAGCAAATATTCGCTAGCAGCACATAGTGTTCTCTGACACTTTACAAATACATGATGTGCCGAGAACACTCATTCACTCGCAAACTACAATCTTGCAGAGGATTTGAAAACTCAGTTAGCAATCATTCTGACGAGCGTGCCTCTGACAGCGCTATCCTGACAGGAAATGTTGCAATAGGGAGTCGCACGAACTAGATCATACCCCCCCCCCCTAACGAAATCCTAGATCCGCCACGGCACTGTCACGGGTCATGCGTTCAGGGTGATATCAAGTTTGGGAGGTCAAGGTAAGGAGTTGTTTTCGTGCAACACCATATGCTTATGCCAACGTCTTAAATGTTGGAAGAAATGTAATGAGACGCCAAGTATTTCACCAAAACTTCTCTGTACTTTGGGCCGGCCTGCGACCTGACCATCTGCCGCGCCCCGCCCCAGCAGGGGCGAGGGACACAAAGTACAACTGCACTACAAACAAGAAACCCTCTACTCCCGCCCTCGTGCGGCGACTACGGTTATGCGTAATCGATCCGTGCGTTGGGCGCCGTCGTGATGTGAAAGAGCCATTCTTTCGCTGACTAACCCCACTAAGAAAACCGTATGGAGACATTCTGTACTTTGGACATTCTGTACGTTTGGACATTTTGTACCTTAGACAATATGAACCTGCCAAAGGGAGATTGGACAAAACCTAGCATCGTGGGATTTGGAAGCAGAGATAAGGAAGCGCGCCAGAGACAAAACAAAATATGGCAAGATTATACATGCCCCCTTAGTGACCTATCGCCGTGGGTTCATTACGTGCTTTTCGTCTCGCTGAAGTGCGGTGGGGAGCCTTGAGATGGATCTTTCTAAACTTCCTGAGTGGTGTTCTAATGCAGGTTAGTCGGATAGGCGATGCCTATTTTCGCATGTAGGCAAAATATTTGCAGTTGAGACACCAATGGCATTGGAGGCAATCATGAATTACGTTGCGCGTAGATGGTACTGGTATGCTTCAGGTGGGGGGGGGGGGGGGACGCACTGCATGTAGTGACATGCGTAAATGACTGAAAGTGGGAGGCCGGTTCTATTAAAAATGATCTGAGCTGATTAAGTTCCAAACTATAGAGGATATGGTTGGAGCACAAACTGAAAACTCTGTTAGCAGTTTGTTCACACCACATGGATCAAGTATGCTTAAATGAATGAGAGAAAGCTCAGTCCAAGTTGAGGGAATGTTGGCTTTCCATAGCCAGAGGTTTCAAGTTTGTCTTGTAGTTTTCAAACTTGTTCATCAAGGCAAGGCAAGGAGTGTATTCCATCCTTCTCCTACTTAAGATTTGATAGCATGTAGACTGTATTTATACATATTTACAGATGTCTATATATGTATAATGTCTATATGTATATGCACACATGCACACACACATGTATATATAATATATATCCATGTCTACCATAAAGCATGCACTGTTGCCCTTAACTGCAATACATATTCCTTATTCTATTCCATCATAAATGGGCAACAAACACATTAGAAACCAAACTGGAGAAGAACTAAAATTTCAGCAAGCACTTGAGCAGACATACTTTGACATGAGCTTCAAGCTGCAAGGGCATACCATTATGATGAATCATTTTGTTTTTGGTATACATTTGCACTGGAAATTTGCAAGTTAATTATTAGTGATGATGTGATGGATTGTTGATGTACAATGTACTTGTTTGTGGGTGTGCAGCTTAAGTGGAGGGACCATCTCCCTGAGGCCCATATTTTTATCTTTGACCATAGATGATGAATCACTTCTGACAGAAAGTTACTACAAGTGTGATATGATCACATTGTATTCTGTGCCCCCTGAGCAGGTCCTGGCTGCACCCTGGTTATATAAGATGGGTGATAGTTTGTTCTCTGCCATGAAAGGAATTCTCAGAGGACATATCACTACTCCATAGTGATATGAAATGAATTGCAATGCTTGCAGTGGTGTTGTGAAATACCAATGCAAACAAATAGGACATGCACAAATTTTAGAACACATTTGCATTACTTTCTGTTTATATCATGTAGATGTGTGCATGCAACTGTTGCATATAATGAAATCGTTGCAAACAGCATCAAGGATAACACCTTCAGGCATTTGATTTGCTTTTCAGCAGTCTAGCTAATAGCCATACAAGGCGAAACTGCCTTTGTGGCAGATATTATCTGTTCTCATGTCACTTACATCTTTGATTGCATGCATCTCCTCTGCTTTTTGTGTATGTGTCTTGATGCGTGGTTGTATAATAACTCATTTTATAGATATTGTTTGTGATATTTTCATCAGATGGACTAAGCACAATTGTTTGGACAACTTGTCTGATTTGAGGAATCTGATGCCTTGGGTTTGTGACATGACTGTGACCTGGCAGTGAAGGAGATTGGAGTGCCAGACCTGCTTTCACTGCCTGTCTCGACCCTGGAGCACGAGTACCATTTGGGACCAGGGGAGGTGCTCCAGGCCAGACACCTGCTGATGGTGGAGGCCAGGAGGGCTCTCACACCTGTCTCAGGTAAAGTGCAGTCATATGAGGTACCTAAAGACCTGTATCCTGGTTGAATCATGTGTTCCCATTTCCTTATATACATCTGCTGCAGGATCAGGTAGGTCCCTTGTTGTCATCTTTAACCTTTCATCATGGTAAAGGTACTGGTGGCAACATCATGTGTACACATCTACTTGTCACCCACTCATTATATCAGTGACTGTCTCATGCAACATTCCTAAAGTCATCCAGTAGGGTGTGCAGGATGTGATTGTGAATTAATGCTGCCAGAATCCTGGCTCTTCGACGGCCCCGTAAACAATTCGGTGGTGCTAATCCGTTGCTCTTTGACCCCGAACCCGGACATCTGACCTGCCCGGCCCAGTTTTCAAGCGTGAGGCACTCAAGTGCTGGGTTGCCCGGTGCCCGGTTCGATGCTGATTGGTCGATTTGAGCTAGGGGAGGAGCAACAGGTGGTGAATCCCATGCCGGGAATGTAAAACGAAAACAAAATATTGACATACCTGCCAACTAAATGGCTGAATTCTGGATCCCTGGTTTCGCACATCGCTGCGCTGCGGGCCAGGCCACTGGGGTCGGTCGGCGCCGGGCTCCGCCGGCGGCCGCCTCAGGCCGTGCTATGCCGCAGCGCTGTCACTGCTGGAGGCGGAGGCGGACGGGCCGGCGCCGCTGTCGCTCGGCTGTGCGCGGCTGGACGCGCTGCTGGCCGGCGGCCTGCTCCGGCGCGGCCTCACCGAGCTGGCCGGCGAGAGCGGCTCAGGCAAGACGCAGCTCTGCCTGCAGCTGGCGCTGGAGGCGGCCTCCGCCACAGGACAGGGTACGGCTTCGCCAGGGGGCGGGCCTCGCTACCGAACGTTACACGCTCCGGTAGGTACTACCCTCCTAATAGGGTACGGCACGCGGAGAGGCGCCAACGAGCAGGGTACGGTCCTGGAGGGGTGTCGCTCAGCGGAATACAGGATCAGAAGAGGCACCGCTGAACAGAGAATTGTATCAGGTAGGAACGCCGTACCACCAAACGGTACGGCACGAAGGAAGGGCTCTCGCCAAGGACCTGGGCCATACCGTGACTGATATCAACAACAGGATACAGTACCGGGAAGGTATCACCGAGCGGCTCAGTACCGGGAAGGGATCACCGAGTGGGGCTCAGTACCGGGAAGGTATCACCGAGGGGCTTAGTACTGGGAAGGATCACCGAGTGGGCTCAGTACCGGGAAGGTATCACGAGCGGGGCTCAGTACCGGGAAGGATCACCGAGTGGGGCTCAGTACCGGGAAGGGATCACCGAGTGGGGCTCAGTACCGGGAAGGTATCACCGAGCGGGGCTTAGTACTGGGAAGGGATCACCGAGTGGGCTCAGTACCGGGAAGGGATCACCGAGTGGGGCTCAGTACCGGGAAGGGATCACGAGTGGGGCTCAGTACCGGGAAGGGATCACCGAGTGGGGCTCAGTACCGGGAAGGTATCACCGAGCGGCTCAGTACCGGGAAGGGATCACCGAGTGGGGCTCAGTACCGGGAAGGTATCACCGAGCGGGGCTTAGTACTGGGAAGGGATCACCGAGCGGGGCTCAGTACCGGGAAGGATCACCGAGTGGGGCTCAGTACCGGGAAGGTATCACCGAGCGGCTCAGTACCGGGAAGGGATCACCGAGTGGGGCTCAGTACCGGGAAGGTATCACCGAGCGGCTCAGTACCGGGAAGGGATCACCGAGCGGGCTCAGTACCGGGAAGGGATCACCGAGTGGGGCTCAGTACCGGGAAGGGATCACCGAGCGGGGCTCAGTACGGGAAGGGATCACCGAGTGGGGCTCAGTACCGGGAAGGGATCACCGAGCGGGGCTCAGTACCGGGAAGGGATCACCGAGCGGGGCTCAGTACCGGGAAGGGATCACCGAGCGGCTCAGTACCGGGAAGGGATCACCGAGTGGGGCTCAGTACCGGGAAGGGATCACCGAGCGGGGCTCAGTACCGGGAAGGATCACCGAGCGGGGCTCAGTACCGGGAAGGGATCACCGAGCGGGCTCAGTACCGGGAAGGGATCACCGAGTGGGGCTCAGTACCGGGAAGGGATCACCGAGCGGGCTCAGTACCGGGAAGGGATCACCGAGCGGGCTCAGTACCGGGAAGGGATCACCGAGCGGGCTCAGTACCGGGAAGGGATCACCGAGCGGGCCAGTACCGGGAAGGGATCACCGAGCGGGCTCAGTACCGGGAAGGGATCACGAGCGGGGCTCAGTACCGGGAAGGGATCACCGAGCGGGCTCAGTACCGGGAAGGGATCACCGAGCGGGGCTCAGTACCGGGAAGGGATCACTGAGCGGGGCTCGTACCGGGAAGGGATCACCGAGCGGGCTCAGTACCGGGAAGGGATCACCGAGCGGCTCAGTACCGGGAAGGGATCACCGAGCGGGCTCAGTACCGGGAAGGGATCACCGAGCGGCAGTACCGGGAAGGGATCACCGAGCGGCTCAGTACCGGGAAGGGATCACCGAGCGGGGCTCAGTACCGGGAAGGGATCACCGAGCGGGGCTCAGTACCGGGAAGGGATCACCAAGCGGGCTCAGTACGGGAAGGGATCACCGAGCGGCTCAGTACCGGGAAGGATCACCGGGCTCAGTACCGGGGGCGGGGGGGGGGGGGCTCAGTACCGGGAAGGGATCACCGAGCGGCTCAGTACCGGGAAGGGATCACCGAGCGGGGCTCAGTACCGGGAAGGGATCACCGAGCGGGGCTCAGTACCGGGAAGGGATCACCGCGGGGCTCAGTACCGGGAAGGGATCACCAAGCGGGCTCAGTGCCGGGAAGGGATCACCGAGCGGCTCAGTACCGGGAAGGGATCACCGGGGGGGGGGGGGGGCTCAGTACCGGGAAGGGATCACCGAGTGGGCTCAGTACCGGGAAGGGATCACCGAGCGGGGCTCAGTACCGGGAAGGGATCACCGAGCGGGGCTCAGTACCGGGAAGGGATCACCGAGCGGGGCTCAGTACCGGGAAGGGATCACCGAGTGGGCTCAGTACCGGGAAGGGATCACCAAGCGGGCTCAGTACCGGGAAGGGATCACCGAGCGGGGCTCAGTACTGGGAAGGGATCACCGAGCGGGGCTCAGTACCGGGAAGGGATCACCAAGCGGGCTCAGTACCGGGAAGGGATCACCGAGCGGCTCAGTACCGGGAAGGGATCACCGGGGGGGGGGGGGGGGGCTCAGTACCGGGAAGGGATCACCGAGTGGGCTCAGTACCGGGAAGGGATCACCGAGCGGGGCTCAGTACCGGGAAGGGATCACCGAGCGGGGCTCAGTACCGGGAAGGGATCACCGAGCGGGGCTCAGTACCGGGAAGGGATCACCGAGTGGGGCTCAGTACCGGGAAGGGATCACCGAGCGGGCTCAGTACCGGGAAGGGATCACCGAGTGGGGCTCAGTACCGGGAAGGGATCACCGAGCGGGGCTCAGTACCGGGAAGGGATCACCGAGCGGGGCTCAGTACCGGGAAGGGATCACCGAGTGGGGCTCAGTACCGGAAGGGATCACCGAGCGGCTCAGTACCGGGAGGGGATCACCGAGTGGGGCTCAGTACCGGGAAGGGATCACCGAGTGGGGCTCAGTACCGGGAAGGGATCCAAGCGGGGCTCCGTACCGGGAGGGAAGCCCGCGCTGCGAAACCATGCGGCGCCCTGTTTGGTGGCGTGGACCTCTGTTCTCTACCAGAAGTCATTGCAGATTCTCCTAGCATCGTCCAGTTGAAGTGTCTTATAATGAATCCGATTTGTTTTTCTCCATCAAGAGTGATTAGGTCGCAGACGCAGACGACATGAATCTTCCTCACAACCCGGGTTGGTACCTATTTAGTTTTCCGCTAGTCGCGACGGACTGCAATTTCTCTTTACGATGAAGTCATTGTGTTCGCCCGTTCACCGCCGATGTATGTCTCCTGGTCACGGCAGCAGATTACTAACCTATCGTTACTGATGGCAATGCATAGCCGTAAAGATCGCGTCCTATTTCCGTGCGTCTTGGAGCCATTGACTTGTGATCTTTTCAGCCATGCTTTAGTATTCTTCCACTACACGTGTCGGCGATATCCTCATTAGTCACTGCCTCGCTGGTTTAGGTTTAGTCCCTTTCCGCCGTGACTGGTACGACGAGCCGCTGCTGGCTGTCAATTAGTCCCCCTTGTGATGTGTATGGGTACCCGTCCCCAGCCGTGGTGTACGCCTGCACGGAGGACGCGTTCCCCGCGCGGCGTCTAGAGCAGCTAAGGGCCGCCCGCCGGCTGACCACCGCTGTCACAGACCTCATCCTGATCGAGCACGCACCGGACGTGGTGAGCAGATGGCAGTCTCCTCTCCCAGCCCGACCCGTCAAAGGTCAGCACCCGCTCACCACCACGCCCGTCACTGAGCGCCGCGCGTGGTGAGCAGGTGACAGTCCCCTCTCCCCCCGACCCGTCAAAGGTCAGCACCCGCTCACCACCACACCCGTCACTGAGCGCCGCATGCGGTGGGCAGACGACAGCCCCCCCCCCCCTTCTTCCCAGCCCGACTCGTCAAAGGTCAGCACCCGCTCACCACCACACCCGTCACTGAGCACCGGACATGGTGAACAGACGACAGTCCCCTCTCCCAGCCCGACCCGTCAAAGGTCAGCACCCGCTCACCACCACACCCGTCACTGAGCACCGGACATGGTGAACAGACGACAGTCCCCTCTCCCAGCCCGACCCGTCAAAGGTCAGCACCCGCTCACCACCACGCCCGTCACTGAGCCCCGCACGTGGTGAGCGGATGACAGCCCCCCCCCCCCCCTCCCAGCCCGACTAGTCAAAGGTCACCACCCGCTCACCACTACGTCACTGAGCGTCGCACGTGGTGAACAAACGACAGCCCCCGCTCCCTCCCAGCCGGACCCGTCAAAGGTCAGCACCCGCTCACCACCACGCCCGTAACTGAGCGACGCACGTGGTAAGCAGACGACAGTCCCGGCCTTCCCCGCCTGATCCGCCAGCTGTCGCTCGCCTGGGGATCATTAAGTGCGTGCAGAAGAGCGAGGCGGACCTGTCATTGTGATGTCACCACTGCACCAATAAGCGGATAGCGTCACTGTCACCGTATTGTGTCTTCACTGCATCAGTCTGGTGCCGTTGCTATGATGTCTTTTTGAAACCGAAGACACCGTTTGATAGTATTATCAGTTGTGTGTGATTGTGCTCACGTTTCTCACCTTCTTTGTGTTCGTGGCGGATGACACCAGTCTTGCGCATTTTCCGCCCGCTCCTCAGGACAGTCTGCAGGTGTGCTGTGAGCAGCGCGTGCCTTCTGCGCCTGTGTCCCGGGCGCCTGTCTCACGAGCGCCGCCCGCTCCTCAGGACAGTCTGCAGGTGTGCTGTGAGCAGCGCGTGCCTTCAGCGCCTGTGTCCCGGGCGCCTGTCTCACGAGCGCCGCCCGCTCCTCAGGACAGTCTGCAGGTGTGCTGTGAGCAGCGCGTGCCTTCTGCGCCTGTGTCCCGGGCGCCTGTCTCACGAGCGCCGCCCGCTCCTCAGGACAGTCTGCAGGTGTGCTGTGAGCGGCGCGTGCCGCAGCTGGCCGGCCGGCGGCCGCTCTGCGCACTCATCATCGACTCTGTGGCCGCCCACTTCCGGTGCCAGTACGAGGCCGGCGAGG